CAAACCCAAATCAGAGAACAAGTTAAGTAGCATACTTCTATCATGACCTTCACTGATTGATGATGTATGCATATGGGTCCCTACTTCCATCCATCTGGACATTTTCATCATTATCAAAGGTAATGTGCTTTTGGAAAGGTCGCAGAATCTCTTATCAACCCAGAAATTACTGCCCTATCGTTAACACTTTTTTGTTCCATACGAGCTCTGGCATTTGAAATCAGATGGTTAGACCTAGACGCCACAAGAATGAACAGAGTTATTTAAATGCTAACTATACATTCAAGTACAGACATAAGATGCCAGTGGCAGAAACACTGGTCCTTCAGATTATGTTACTAATCGCTTCTCAGCCTAAGGCTAGCAGCGACTCGATGGTACTTGAAAAGGCCATAAAGTTCAACTTGTTTAAAATGTTCCGGCTTAGACTTACACTTTAATCTCTCTATAAATTTATTAAGCCCTAACCTCGTACCATAAAATAATGGGTATGTACTATCACTTGCTTTATTTGGAACAGGGGGACATGTACACACCACTCACGTACAAGTCCCTCCCTTCCTCGTGTTTACTACACTGAAAAGCCAACCTGTGCCCTATCACTAAAAAAAAAGGAAAAAAAACACAACAGTACTTTTTGTCCAGCAGCACAAACACATGGACAGATCATCTGTAATTAATGTAACTTTATGTACTGAAATGATGGGGAAAAGAGAGAAAGTCAGAATTCCAACCGAAAAAAGACATGCAAAACTGATTCTCGATCCCTCAATTAAAACTAAAAGAAATGAAAAGGTAACAGAGTGACTGTCTCTAGATTTATTAGGGAGTTTATTACAAATGTTTGACTGAGCTTTACAGGCATGATTTCATGGATTCAAACAAGAAATTAAGAGTTAACAGTGATATTTAGCCTTCTCATTACATACACAGAAATAACATTGCTACAAATTGCAATGAAGAGAATCTTGTTTCAAATGGCTTGGTTTGGGGTTTTGTCTAAATGTATCATTATATAATGAAAGCACCAATTTGAGGGTTTCTCAAATAGTGATTTGAGTTTCAGAACATAACAGAACATAACTTGGTAACTTTATTCTTCACATAAATAAGGCATAACACCGGATATGTGTACTAATGCTGAAAATACATTTTACCAAAAGCATAAATACAAGTATTTGGGTATACATTGGAAGTTCAGATTTACTCATTCCCGCTTACAAACAATTCTGGGGCATATGATTTTTGTGAGTCTGAACCAACACTTCTAATCACTTCTGGTATTAAGGGAATCTTACTTTCTTCTACCTTATACTGACCACTGCCAGCAAATGAACAAGGACCTCCCTCAACAACCTCCCTTGGGAGTTTAACCAGAGGACCCCTCACCATGTAAAATACACGCCAGTGCAGCTTCAAACCAAACCAAACCAAACCAAGCCAAACCATTTTCACTCCACGATGCCTTCCTTGGTCGCTGCTGTGATCTAGCTGTCAAATGCCCTTTCCAGGCAATACAAGTGAAAAGAAGATTTCAATGCAATATAATATTTGGCAGCAAAGCAATGATACGGGTTATTAAAAATAATATTTAAGTGACAGAGGCATTAAATTATTTGGATCTTCAGAAAAACGTTTGACAAAACCTCTTCCCTATAAAATAATCAAGGCAAAAATCTGTGCTGTTCTTTGATTTTAAGGCAACTCTGTATACTAGAAACTTCTGCAAGATCAGTGAAGACACTCGTGTGACGTTTCTTAAGGATTAATAAGCAAGAAGACATTGACTTAAGAACAGAATGTAATAGAGAATTGGGCACATTTTATTCCAAATCATAACCATGAAGACTTAGAAAATCAAAGACACTGAACAGCTGTAACTCCAAATTACATTTTTAGAGACTGGGGGGAAACTGGCATAGGGGAAAACTATGAGGTCCCTTTCAGCTCTGTCACTGAATCTCATGTCCCCCTTCACACAGCGGTGTTTCAAAAGGGTCTGGTTTTCATGCTGTAGGTATAGGACTCCTTCAAATGGTTTCAAAGTACAGTATATAAAACATGTGGACTAAAGCCTTCAAATTGAAACTTAAAGTTCCACTCAGTGTCTAAACCAGCCTGCCATTAAATGTAAGTAATTTACTGCCTCAAAATATAGGCTAGGTTTTATTTTAAAAGAAAGCTGACTTTGAGACTTCACACACGTCAGGAAAGGAAATCTCAAATGCCCAAAGTAATATCCTATCTCTTTGGTGTTTTAACATTTCTTTGTGGTAGTCAAAATGGTGCTTTGTCAGGCAGTATTTATGGTTCATATCATATATTTCAGGTCTGAAATATAACTTAAATGAGAGTATCCTTCCTCTTTATACGTACACTGGAGTGAAATGATGCTTTGGCCATTTGATAGGACCATTTGCTAAATTTACACACAGACTTTCCAAGCCCAAGTCTCCATGTTACTGCACACATACTCAGATACTCCTCGGCCCTGAAATGGTTCTAACTCTGTGGATTGAACAATGCACTCTTTTTGGTAAGAAGCACTATAGATATAGAACTATTCCGATGTGCGTGGACTCTGCTGTACTATGGACGCCTGCATCAGGACGTAGGGCTACGTGTCAGTAGCTCAGGTGTTACCAAGACACGAAAACACTGGCAGTTATGGGTGTAATGATGGTGGAGTTTCAAACGCAAGAGAAGTCAGGTACATTGAGAACAATCCCTGGTCAGTTCACTGCAAAGCCCTATTCTTACTAGACAGCAAGACAGACCCAGAGCCACTGTCTTAGAACGGCTGGGTGATCCAGAATGTTGACCAGTCTTTCAAGGACTTTCTAGCCAATAAAATACCTGAGAACACAGTCAGCTATACAGTAAAGTGAAAGGTATCACAGTCTTAATCACAATTTTCAGGGAAGGAAGAAAAGCCGTCAGACTTTCCAAACTGTCACCAGTCTTGTACATCTGTTTCTCTAATCCAATTCTGACACTACGTATAACCTACAGGGCAGTATTTTTAGTCCTGCACACCAGCCACTCTGATGAGTTCACTATGAATGTATCTGTAATTGCAAAGCTACATCGTGGGTACATTTTCATTTGGTAAGTGGTGGAGGAGGTCAAATGTAATCACCCTTCAGTATGAACTAAAAAAATTACTACTTACTCTTGAAAGTATCCTTGAAACCTTCAAAATGCACCTCAAGAAAGCTGGAATTTTGTAAACAGTAATGTTGCAAACACATACATACTCTTTTAGAGACACACCAAGAATGAATAAGAATCTCAAATAAAAGTGAATAGTGTGACAGGAAAATACTGCCCTTGGCAAGCTCCAAAAAACAAAAAAAATCCCATAAATGCCACCGTCTGGAGTTGACGGGAACAGACAGGAGAGCGAAAGAACAATGTTTGTGATGGTACAGCAGTGATCCCACCATAAGGACCCACATCATCTGAGACAGGATTTCAAAGTCTGAGAGTAAAACACATAATATTCTTGGGAAAGGGTGTATTTATTTAGAAAGTTCTGTTATCAGGTTGCCTGCACTTTTTTAGTTGCTGCTATGGCCAGAATGTTTCCCGTATGGCACACTGATTACATGACATTTAAATATGAAAAGGGCAAATTACATTTCACTCATGACTTTTAATCAAAACACTACGGATGGCATGCGCCTGCCTTGTGCTCCCCTGGACCATTTGTGAGCTTTCATTACCATCAGACCAGAGATCCTCATGTAAACTTTAAACACACCAGAATATTGCCTTCAGAAACCACAGAAATTTAAAAAACAAAACAACTGTTGTGTATATAAGCAATCATAAAACCGTGAAGGCTAAATCTGGGTGAAGCTACAGAACGCCACTCCTTAGATCACACATTTTTCCAGTGGCCCTTTCAAAAGAGGTCACCATAAAGCTGGGCACAAGTGTGGCTGCTACCTGTAGGGCGAACAAAAGGTATCTTACTCGTTCTAGAACTGAACATTCTCAACCTCAGACCTACAAATATTAAGGACACCTATCTATACTTGGCACTACAGGAGAATTCAGTTTGAAAAGTGGAAGAATTTAAAGCCTGAGGGATGCCTTGTCTGAGGTCTGGCAGGAAATGACTCCACTCCAATGGAAGCCGGAGTGAAAGAGATCAAAGCCAAGCCTCAGCAGATATTGGCCCCGTGTTACTCAGCGGCTCTCAGCCACAACCAAAGGCCGCAGGAGAACGACTAAGATTTCCAAGAAGTTAAACACGGAATCAAGATTTTTCTAATTCCAGATCGGA